TCACCTGAGAGCGATAATGCCGAAGCACTGGCCCCGGGGCCAAGGTTCACCGCGGGGGCAATAAACTCCCTTTCCCCCTGCCATCATGTAAAGACATTACCGTGCCCCGCGGCCCTCACTACAAACGCTTCATTTCCAAAGGCTCTCTGCCTCTTACTGGGTCACTTTATTTACCCTGTGTCATGCAAAATTCTTAATTTCCTTTGAATCCCAGCGCTACTGTATTGCCTTGAATTACCTACATTCATTACCACCATTTAATTAGTACCATCAAACACTTCACGGTTTACAGTGGCTCAATATGACATTAGTCGAGACTGTTAAACTCATTAGCGAATACTGATAAGGGTTAAAGGTGGGATAGTTGGCATTTTTATCTGTCAGAAATTGATAGGCCTACAAAGAGCAAAAAACAAAACAAACAAAAAGTAAACAAAAAACGAAATGAACGAAACGAAATGTAATGAAAATGTTTTTATTTTAATATGAAATAATAATAATAATAATACACTTTAATTAAACAATAACACTATTAGTGTTATTGTTATTATTATTATTTTAATTAATGACTGTTTCTGTTTTTCTTTGAAAACAATGTAGTCTTATAGTTTAGTGACATGCTTCAGTGATTACTTTACCTCTCTAAAATAACAATAATAAATAAATGCATGAATCAATCAATCAATCAATCAAACAAACAAACAAACAAACAAACCGGTATCTCATCTCAAAATTGTTGGCAATTCTTGTAAGTGTTGCTGTGAGTTGAACTCTAAACGCGTTTAACATGAGAAGGAAACTGCAAACAGCCATCCCTTTATAGTTATTCTAATGAGCCGGGGAAGTAAATAAAGTCATCACAACAGCAAGACTCCATTGTGAAGAGAAGTATTATTGAGTAGTTTGTCACTTTACTGTAACGATGTGTTTCCCACAGCAGCTCGAGCTGTAAATATTTACTTAAGCATTAGACAGTGAAGTGGGAGGTTTTACATGAGTTAAATACATAGTTCGAGTTGTTTCCATAAGCTGTTTGTTATTTCATGTCACACACACACACACACACACACACACACACACACACACACACACACACACAAGATTTGTTCGGAACCCTGACAAGCTATGGCTTTTGAAGATGTAGATGTAGTTGACATTCAACTAATATTATATGTTATATTGAAATGTACAGTAGCTATAGAAAAAAACTTATGTAAATGTGAATATTTTAGGTGCACTGACTGTTAGTTACACTGTTTTTAACTTTTTTGATCACTTTTAACTTTGCATTGCATTTAAATAAAAAAATCTACATTTCCATATCTCTCAATAATAATTAAATAATAATTTAAGAAAGTTTTAGATTAGTGTCACACTGTGTCATGTTCACCCGCCTGCTGTAACTGTAGCTGTGGATTTGATGTATCCTTGTGACTGTACACCTCTTTTCTTTTATCCGTTTAATATAACTGATGATTGATATGATGTTTTTCAAAAAAATTCGAAAGTGACAATGAAAAGAGTGCAACGAACTTTACTTTAATACGTCAATAATTAAACTTTAGTTTTAGTGGGCTGATTTTTTTTTATAATGCATCATTGTAAACTTGCATTTACAAATATATTCGAGTGTGACCCCTATCCGGGTTGGAGCAAAGAGGCCCTTTTACATGTTAAGTTAGAAAACGAGAAAGGGGTTTATAAATGATAAAATTATAAATTGAAGAAATGGCCTACTGCTGAGAGTGAACATCAAACCATATCTTCAGTCACTTCGCTTCTGTTTCAGTCTTATCAGTGCGTTTCGCAGTCTCTCCTCAGAGCAGAAACGTTGTTCTTGAGTTTAATCATAATTACATTTTTTCCAGAGTTCTGAAACACATGCCGGGGTTATTTGGTTTTAGAGTCTAAACTAAACCAGGGGCGCTTACATTTCTCCAGTGTGGCGTTTGCCTCTTTATTTATGATGTCTTTTCTTCCACCGATGTAGAACATTTCTGACTTGGATTTTTCACTCCAAAATTGATTTGACACAGATATCCAATATCCCTTTAAAGATAATCAAACTGAGTCTCTCCTCATTCCGCTTATATCCCCACTCACTTTATGACCATATCGAGTTACCACGAGCCTGTTGTGAGCAATAGACATTCTTCAATCTGAAAACATTATTATAGTGTTTATTGCACTGTAAGCGAGGGAAAAGAGCTCATGTTCGCCCGAAACATTTGTACATATAGCAGGGGTTTCTGAGATATGCAACGGACATGGGGTAATGTCCTGAAAAGTCACCTTCTCCTTGTAATACCTATGTCATACCCTTGTCATTATACAAATGTATGTCCTCATTTGTCACAAAAACGCGCACACACACACACACACACACATAAACAATGCGCGACCAGGCCACATATGCGGTCAGTTGTGCCAAAAGTGGCCTATACCAACACGGCCACGAGTGCTTAATAAAAATTCACAAAAGTCTTAAAACAGTCATACAAATACTTTTTTTTTCCAGCTCACGTTGAGATAATCTTATCCTCATACGCAAAGCAGGTTGTATTATTAATACAAACAGGCAAAATAGTTTTGTCAGCAATCCGATGTGCTTTACGGTAAATTATAAATAAGTTTATTTTTATTCAAGTCATGATTATGATTCATAACACTTGATCGAGCAGACTACTTTAGGCTACATCAACGAATAGTTTTATGGCGTCCAGACACTTAGAAATTATTTTCTTAGATAGTACCTTTACTTTTTCACTTTTATATTTGTGCATGCAATATAATAACTGCTGTAACTTTTCTTGCTGTAAATTTTTAAACTTAATTGTAAAAGTAGTTGTAAAATTAGTGAAATATTATTATGAACATCATTAAATGAACATCATTTCCCCAATGGGCGATTGAGGAAAAGTTAAGTGTTCTTTGACGTATAATAATAACAACAACAATAATAATAATAATAATAACAACAACAACGATGCTAGTCATTTGCGTGGCGTTTTTCAATTTATTCTTTAGCTTACAAATGAATGCATACTGCTAAATCAACGACAACAACAAAACAGCAAACTTTTTCTTCTTCCTCCTTTTCATGTTGTTATAACGTTTAATAAATAAAATACATAATAAAAAATATAATCCAAAAATCTAAAATAATAATAATAATAATAATAATTTTAATAGGAATATGCAGTATAAGAATTGTTATTATAAATGTTTTCTGGATTTTATGGGGTTTTCGATAGATACAGTAGATAGATAGATAGATATGTCATGCATCTCACGTGGGAAATTTCCAATAATTGCAATAATATCACTTTTGATGTTTTGTCCCTCAGGCCAATCCGGCAGAAGCGGTCAGATGTCAATTAAAGTCAGCATGAGCGGCTGCGGCGCTGCTCTTGTTCTGAGGGCAGCCTGGCCTGTGGCGCGCGGGCTCCGCTGCGCTAATCCGTTTATGGAGCACCTGGGACCGCGGACGGCAATAACATGCTCTTATCCGTCGCCACCGCGAAACATGCACATCTGAGCACAGCAATGCGATAATGCCCACATCCCAGAGGACCAGAGGGCCACTTTACCCCCCGATTGAACTGTCGACGTCTCTGAATTGATAGCTCTAAAATGACAGCCAGCGTATTTGACACATTAGCCTGATGGAAATCGGTCAAAAGCGGACGAGGGCATTATCGTGATAGATTCAGACTGTTTCAGTCTGTTTTAGCAACAGTTTTTGAAGGATTTTAAAATGAATTTGAACTCATTGTATATGTTCAGAGTGGGTTCTTCTGTTTGAACAGTTGAAAGTGTGATAGTTTTTCTGTTTGATTGATCAGGGTTCTCTCTGAATGAACGGGGGCCGTTTGACTGACGTGAGTTTCTCACTGAGAAAGCAAAGGAACTTCAGTGACTTCGGGGAACAGAGGAGGAGCATCTGAATGTGAGATGGAGAGAGTGAGTGTGTGTGTGAGAGAAATGCGGAGTAATGCAAGAGAATGAGTGGGATGGATGACTATATTGAATGTCTCTGCGTTATAAATAACGCTTCTTCACAATTGTATTCGTCTCCACAGACAGCTTTTACGGCACTCTCGGCGTCATACCCTGCTGAGACCCCCGCAAGCTGCTCCTTTCATTCTGTAGAGACTCTACTGTCCACTTGCATACAATAAATACCTCTGTGCAGTGCAGCGTTTGGGTTTTTACTTGAAAGTTAGGGTTTGCAGAGGATTCGTGTTCAATAGGCTACCAATAGATAAAATACGGTTGTGGCAGGAGAAAGCAAAATGGAGAAACTCGGCAGTGTTTCCCAACTCTGTTCCTGGAAGCTTCCCAACTCGTCCCAACTCGTCTACATTGTCTGACACTTCCATCTCAGGTCTTATAGCCTCTATTAACCATTTATTTGTTTAATAAGGTGCATTTGATCAGCAAGACATCCAAATTGTCTCCTTTTGGAGGGCTTTCGGAAACACGTCTCCACGTCTCCAAACCACTGCATTGAACAAAACTGAAATGTTTTCAATTACTTGAAGAAAACATCACTATTATCTTCCAGATTGTTCTGAGCATCACCGTTTATGTCTGAGGGTGTTATCGGTGACAAACCCCCTTGAACTCCCGAGGTCACAGCGCAAGAAAGTTTAAGGATTTGGACCAATCAGAAGGCTTTCCCAAGTCTTTGGACCCTCCCTCTTTGACCAATCACAGTCGTCGATGAGTAGAAGCAGCCAACAACTCAACAACTGATAAAATGTTTCGCCTCTGATCACCGTTCCAATTCTCAACAACAAGTGTGTCAACAACAACTGAACGAAGCTCTGAGAGTTTTATCTTCCAAACTGCGTTGAGATAAACCACGACTGAAAATCTGGATATCCGTGATTCACTTCCGAGGATTGGCAGCGACGTTTTGAAGTTGACTTTTCGTTTTCAGCTGAATGAAGACTTGATACTTCAGCAATCCACTGACACTTGACGATCAGCGCTTCTTCTTTGGATAACATCAGTTTTTCTCTCAAGTGCTCCGTGCACCCGTTTCTTTCTTGCAGAGGAGTTATGACCGCATTAGCGGGGGGCATTTCCAGGATGATGCGCCCCACGCCACCCCAAAACTACCCGAGAGGAGGCTTTTCCTTGGAGGGTAAGGTGTTAGTTTCTGTGGTTACGACAGAACCGTCTGAACTTAGAAGTATCCACAAAGCTGATTCTTTATAAGACAGATTTGATCTGATGCACGTCAGTAAAGGAAGTGACATTTAAAATATTTAAATTAGATAGTAAAAAATGAACTTGCTAAGAGTGAAAACTTAGGTTTAATTATTTTGTGATGTGAATGTGATGATGTGATGTGAAATTGCAGCTCCCAACCACTTGGAATGACTTTACTATTTCAAGCTGAAACTAAAAAAACATAAAAAATTTTAACTATTAAATCTTTAATGTAGTCTAATGTACTGAAGCTTATTTAATGCAAAGCTAACATTTTGTACAAAAAAGGCTTTTCGCCATATTAAATGTTAGTTTATATATAAAATTGTACAAGCTTGTCAACTTTTATATACTTTTTAAATATATAAATACAAATGTATAATATAAAAAGTGTTCCGTCAACAGGTAACATCTTTGCAAATTATTACTATTAATTACATTTTTTTGTCAACTAGACAACATTTTAGTATTAGTAGTAGTATTTATAAATGGTTATCTTTTATTAGTAGTAGTATTAGTTTTATTGTTGTTGTGTTGTAGTTGTTTTTGCATTATAAGAATAGAACATATCTGTCATGCTTTTGATTATGTTTTCACTTTTAACAAAGCATTAAAGCAAACTTTTAGTGATGCAAGTTTGGAAAAAATACTTTGTAAAGAAAGATATAACGGCACACTTAAGTTTATGAGTTTATGTGCGGTTATATATCTTGCTTTACTAATTATTTTAATTATTTTACTAATTATTGCTTTACTATTATTTTCACTTTAGCATAAGGAAATCGTTATATAGATTGTTAGTCACTGACACAACCTTTCCCCCTTCTTGCTGCAGTCTCAACGCCGTTAGGTCAGGGCCGCGTGAACCAGCTCGGTGGAGTCTTCATAAACGGACGCCCTCTGCCCAATCACATCCGCCACAAGATAGTAGAGATGGCCCATCACGGGATACGACCGTGCGTCATCTCCCGACAGCTGCGCGTGTCGCACGGATGCGTTTCCAAAATTTTATGCAGGTACCAGGAGACCGGATCCATTCGGCCCGGTGCTATTGGTGGCAGCAAACCCAAGGTAGGACATCACCGAGGCCATTTCATGTCCTGCTGGGGCTGAATTGTATTACTGAATTGATCAGAAAGCTCATCACAGTTTCACATTTAAATATGGAGTTTTGCAAATACAGTGTGGCGTTTGACTTAACGACTAAAATATGCTTGGTGTTTTTTCTCTGTAGTGTCCATGTTTTTTTTTTTTTAAGGGTGTACACAGACTATGATGTTGCACCTTACGTTCAGCAAATAATTTCCACAATAAACAATTTTAATTGTATAGAGTCAGTGCTCTGTGTATAGAATCTATTGTTCTTATTATCCTAAAAAGTTCTTATAGGTTCTTCAGATCAGTTAATTTTGTCTCTAAAGCACCAATGCATAGCCGTTTCTTAAAGAATTAGAGAATAAAAAGTTCTAAAAAGTTAAATCCTTATTTTTAAGAGATTTTAAGACAGACTTTTTTTGCCTTGTTTAATATATCCTATGACTCAAAACAATGAATTAAACACCATAGTAATCCAGTGTTAATTAATTGTACAGAACGTCTTGTGAATAGTCACATAATCATAACTAAATGGAAACTGGCGATTTTATCTATACATTCCTGTTATAATCGTTTGTAGATATTTTGTAAGTTCTCATAAAATGGTATAAAGATATACAAATTTAATTATTATGTAACTATTGTAATGAAAGCAGAGCACAACTCCCAATGTGGAAAAGAAAATCGAAGAATACAAGAGAGAGAATCCAGGGATGTTCAGCTGGGAGATTCGGGATAAACTTCTGAAAGATGGAATCTGCGACCGAAATAACGTGCCCTCAGGTACTGAAATTTATCTGTCAATCTGTGCAGTTTAGTTGATGTTTTTAAGATATTGCTTCCAGCACCTGTTGCTTGGAGAAAAAACAAAACAAAGCAAAACAGATGGCTTGTGACTTTAAAGCAACCCTATATATATTTTTAAATATATATTTCCTATAGGCTGTAAAATCGTTTTAAATGCCTCGTGGTTACGGATTGAAATTTTATACCTACACACTTTCAAGCGTTTAAACATTCAACAAGTGGAATTCTATAATGTCAATTGATGAAGCTTTTTTTTGTCTCTCCGCAGTGAGTTCCATCAGCCGCATGCTGCGCTGTAGATTTGGTGGAAACGGAAATGAGGATGAGGATGATGATGAAGTGGAAAAAAGGGAGATCGAGGAAAACGAAAGAAGAGCCAAACACAGCATCGACGGGATTCTCGGCGACAGATGTAAGTTCCAACGAGTTTTATGTTTTTTTATGCGGAACTGAGATGAGCACCATGAGTTTACAGGTATCTACATACATTTTATTATGGATAGAAAATATTTAGGCCTATATATATGTATAGGTAATAAAATGTGTTCTACTTCTTTAATAATAATACTAATAGTAATAACATTATTATTATTATTATTATTATAAATTATTATTAATGCTAATAGGCCTATGTGTTTTGTTAAAATAATATTTTAATTATTTGGAAAAGTAGCGTAGGCCTGTACGTTAGAAATTGCGTGAATGTCACGAGCACATTTATGCTTTATTTTTTTCCTCCCCGTGTGAATATCGCTTTTAATGTTTCAGTTTGAGTCTTTTGCCACCAAATGCTAAATAGATTGATGGGAAAAATGGCCCACGTCTTCAGTAGGCTATTTTTTTTTTTTTCTTTTAGCGTTTTTTGTGTCTTTCCTTAAACTCATTGGAACTGAATTGAGGAGCATCGGAGATTAACCTCCTAAAACGAGACGTTCCTGGAGTGAAACTGGCCGAATCAGTAAATCAAACATTTGTCCAAGAATAGCGTTCACTAAAAGACGCTCCTGCGGTGCACAATCGGACACTTGAGGATGAACTTGGGAAACAAAAGCGAAAGAGTCCATGAGACTCACGCTTCAGTTTCCCCAGGACAAAGATCGGCCTAGCAGTAGCTTGGTCCTGACAAAAGACTCCAAGCTTTTCAAAATTTGGAAAGAAAGGAAGAAAAAACGGTCCAACAAAAGGCGTAGAGAGGACATTATGGACGGGCAATGAGAGATGAATTATTCACGAATGACCGTAGTCCCGGCTCAGAAGTGTTTTATAGACTTCGAGGCCTGAATAATGTGTCCATTTTTAGCTAGATCATGTCTTGGAATTTTCCCTTTCGCCCCCAAAAACGTCAACAGCAGCTGGAGGCGTTTGAGATGCTTAATTTTTACGTTTTAAGCAAATTAAAAAATAAACACCTGGTGATTAGAGTGTATGTGAATTTTCAGATCGAGACCATTAACTTTCTCCTTTAAATGTGTGGATTTATGGAATTAATACTTGTTTGATGATGTCAACTAAAAAAAACATAATATGCCTACTTTGTAGATTTTCATAAATCTAAAAAGTATTATAGCCTACATTTTCGTTAACATTTTCTTAATCACGAACCTCCCGAAGAAAAAAAGCTCGATGCCGTAAAAGCAAGATTACAATGGCGCTCGCTCACGAAAGTCGCGAATTTCGCTAAACATCGACAAAACAAAAGTAGTCTCAGATCACTTTGTTAAAAAATTTACATCACAGGTATATCATACATTTTTTGTACTTAAAATTATGCTTGTTTAAAATGCCTTATGTTAACACGACTAACATTGCTATTAGTTTTGCAGAGAGATTACGCCGCGAAAATCGCTGAATAATTAATACGCCAGATAGGCCTAGAGAAAGTAACTGCATTTTTCGGCGAAATTTAATTAGTGACACTCAAATGTAAAAACAACGTGTCAAAATATCATGAAAATTTTTAACATCCACACAGCGGATAGCCTCGAGGCAATAGCCTACCCCATTCCCCCAGTTGAAGAAGAAATTATATGTAGGCTATTAACTTGGAAATTGATACAGACAGCGCGTTTTTCTAACCCCCACCGTTCTGAAATTCTTGCGCAGAGGAGTTTGTTCTAGATGTCAAGTGGAGAGAGAAACTCTGAGCTGTGAGCGCGCTAGCCGGATCACCCCGCGTCATGCGCCGCGCTACAATTGGCGCACATTATACTCAGTCATTGCAATGAAAACCTTTTCTAGTAGATTAAATCGAGCCCTTTATTCGTCCCCACTTTCATCTCAGGACAAAAACCCGCCCCCTTCCTCTCCGCCCGGGGCGCGTATTCATTCCTCACTGCCCTTTTCCTTCTCTCTTTTCCAGCACCGCCATCACGAATACAGATCAGTTGGTAATTAGTTTAACAAACGACTGTCGATATGTTGTTGTTTGGAGATGGCTGATTGATATGAACTTTTGAAACGCACAACATTGCAAATTGCACTGTAAAAATGCTTGCTGCGTAAAAAAAAAAAAACCTTGAGTAAACCCAAAATGGGATGTCATTAGTTCAGCTCCATATTGTGGAGTAGCTAGATTGGTTTCAGCTCAGACATTGACATAATTACATTGTATTTGCTTTTTGTAACTTTTAAATATATGCTGAACAACATTCACTCTATATTTGTTCTGCTTAGTTGTTCAGCTTCCTTTTTCCAGTTAAATGAACTTCAGCATAACATTTTGTCTGGCATACGGGACTTTTTGAATCACACAGTGAGTTTTATGTTGAGCAATCTTGCTGGTTTGTTGACTTTTTCGTGCTGTTTTGCTGTTGATTATTTGTTGTGTGATGATCATCTTAAATGAGCGTTTAAATGAGTGCAAGCAAATTAGGTCAACAAAAGAGTTTTACTAAGAGCACATATTGAGACACAAAATTCATTATGGCTTATTTGTCTTTTTGTGAAAACAGTGTTTATAGATTTAATATTCAAGACTAAAATTCCTAGAGGATAATTTTTCAACGTTATGGAAACAAGCTAATAAATGAAACATTCATCTAGACCAACTTTGCAAAATACCAAATGATAGAAATAGTAATGATCCCCATAGTTTATTCATTCCACTAAAACATGCTCAAAACTCAAGGATAAGTTATTATTTATAGTGTTAAGTTCATTATGAAATTATGTGATTTTCTGGGCAGAAATTCTTGTGAGTCAAATGGACTGAAACAAACATCTTATTAAAATGAGTTATTTTTTTTAACATTGTTGCACAAATATTTTCCATTTGATTTTTAGGGCAAAAACATTAGCTGGTTTCTATGTTGTATTTGTGTACATTTAAACCTGGACTTGCAACAGAGTTACTTAGGTGTCTATATCTGCATTGAAAAAACAGAAAGAAAGAACAAAACAGTGAATGAAAGAAAGGAAGCGCGAGGGGAAAGGAGAAAGGAAAACAGCCTTTTCAAAGCCCGGTTAATGTTTTTGTTTTCCTAGAAGGATCAATCACCTCTGGCTTTTATTCACATGTAGATGTGTCTACATCATAAAACTCAACGAGTCCTGATCTCCATTGACACACTGTAAACTTCTCCTCTCTCCATTCGCTCTCATCCGTTTGTTTGCAGTGGGCTGATTCTGCACTGACTGTATTTCACTCTCTCCTCCCTGCTTGTGGGAGTTGTTGTTTTTTCCTATTCGGTGTTCAGTTAAATTCTCAAAAGGGTGTTTTCAGAATCAAGAGGGTGTTCTCTAGCCAAATATTGATTAAGTACGTGTTTGCTGAGTCTATAGTTGTCGGGTAAGAGGGGTGTGTTGGCTCTGGGCCCCTGCTCCTTCAAAACCTATTGTTGGGCCCCTTAAAGGCTTGAGATCAAAGCAAAGGCCCCTTCAGATTTATTTGTCTGGGAAAAGGCAGTGTAGAGGACCATTGCTTACTAATACTGGATTGAGAAAACACCTCAAAAGATGTTTCTTAAAACCTGTTTGCCGAGAAAGCTCAGAACAAACATTTAGATTTTTTTTTTGTAATATTTGTGACTTTTAAATTTATTATTTAGACTTTTTTGAACTCCAGTAAAAAGTGATAATTTATATGAAATCATCAGTTGTTTTTCCCCTGTATAAAAAAACTGCAATTGTTACCTTAAAGAGTTTTTTATATCTGATTTAATCCATAAAAATAGTATAAATTAGTATAATAATAAATTGGTATAAATTAATGTATGTAGGTTGGTTCAGTCATGCTAATATTTTTGACTTAAAACCATTTTTTCCCCATATCAATCCAGGCTTCTCTCCTGTTTAGGTTGAAAAAATAACGTTTATAAAGAAAACAACACATATCTATATCTAAACTTCTATATCTGTACTAATGAAACAAAAGCTAAAACGTTCCAAAGAAAGTTTTAAGAACGGCAAGGGACCGTTCTAGTGCCTGGAATGGTTCTATGTGAATCGATAAAACTTATCTCACAATGCTGTGTTTGCCTGAGCGCATCCCCTCCTTTTTCCTGTACCATTAACTTTGGGAAAACTGACTATCCTCGAGCCTCATTTAGCTAATTAAAAGTAACTAAAGTCATCAAAGAGCCACGGCCCCTCTCTCACAGATTCTCATTCACGGCAGGCGAAAAAGAAAACTCAGAAATACAAACACTCAAAGGGATCAAGTTTTTTTGAAAGGGAGTCCCGTGGAGGCCAATTGAATGAGCTTAGTGCTTTCAGACGTGCCATGGTGAACGCAGTCAACATGTAATAATTAGTTTCATTGAGCTGCATTCCAACAATCTGCTGCTTTTCTCCTGGGCTCATTGTCTCCCAGCAGGCCAATAGCCAGGAGGACAGAGAGAATCAAGCAATGACAACACATGAAAGATTCAGCTGCCTTTGTCTGAGAGAGCAAGGAGGACTTTGTTTGTGTAAATAAAATAGGGCTTTTGCCTGCTTTGCTGACTGGATACTTACTCAATAGAAAATGGGGGAGAGTGAGGAGAGAAAGCAAAAGATGCACCACAAATACAGACAGCTGTGTCACACAATAATAAACAGATATTTTTGGGACAATTTATTTGTTCCGCAACCACGAATGTACTCTGAACAGTAAAGCCAGATGTATTCATCCAAAACTAGACCACAATTGGGCAACTATAGCCATATCTGGCTCTTGGGGGTCTAGTTTTATACATTTTTTGAGTTCTGTCTCTCTGATCAATAAACAAGGGCTCTTCTCTCTGCAGGAATGTTCCTCAGTCAAGATTTCAGGGCCCTGCGGGAATGGAGATGAGCAATCATCTGCCTTTTATTCAGCTGTTCCTTGAAACCTAACAATCTTCGCCCTTCTCTTTCTGTCTCTCGATAAACACAATTCAAGTTTATCGAGGTTCATCAGGACATCAATCAAGGTTTTTAGGTGGTAATAAAGAA